CTATTGCTGAATGTGACTCTCCAATCCTCCTGTTTTATTATGTAGTTTAGATATGGTTTTAGGATGAGTAAGTTTGTTTTGGCAATTTTCATGCTTATAAGGTTTATCCTCTTCAATGTTTACTATAGAAAGTCAAAGATGCTTTGTAGTTTGTCCCGACTATTCCAGTTGATAAGCATACTCATATTTACAGAATAAGATGCAAAAGATGCAACTCCAAAATCAAAAATCAATTAGTTCTATCTACTTAAAATCTTTGACTACGAAGAATCTAAAATACCTTTCATCAAAGCAGGCACTTTTTGACTTGGCTGTCTTCCGACAATATTACCAGGCAGTTTCAGCTTGACTTTTATGGCTGTTGTTCTACATGCCAATCATTGTCCAATTTGAGGATGGATTACATTATTGCTAAATATCAAGAAAGGTGTGGTGTTATAGTAGATAACATTCTGTGCCTTTTATTGAATTACAGAGCATTGCAACTGATGGGATATTTTTAAATACTCAAAGATGAAGACACGTGTCTTCGTTATCAGTGAATTCTTGTTACTGTGATCACGACATGTACCCGTCGATTCAAAAGTTCCTCTTCCCCCGAGGTACTGTTCATAGGGATCAATGACACCCAATACGTTTACGTACCGACACGTATCCCTCGGTCGGATATGGGGTACATCGGTCCCTACATGTACCACTCCCCTCAGTATCGAGATGTACTCGTCCAAGATGGCTTCTCTGCTTTTGCAGAGGCTATTGATGTACAAGTCACTAGCCTAGGCTGGATTAGGTTAGCCATCATGACCTCGTCTTACACAATTGGTGTCAGGAGGTACAAGAAGGTAAAAGACACAACCAATGGGGAATAAGCACATGTCATATTGTGTCAGATTAGAGACAAAAAGACCGATATGCCCTTGCTGACACACGACTTGGGAAAGCAAACATTTAATTACACCATTCCCTTGATGAGACAGCATTTAATGCAGTAAGGCTCGGAAGTGAAAGGTAATAAATGTTCCTAAGGCTGGGTATTTATTACATCTTTGCCGAGAGGAGCTCATTAAACAGTCGGCAGGCCGATGACACAGCCTTGGTTGCTCGGGATCCCGAGCAGTTAAAAGAGAAGACATTCCTCATAGGAATCGATGCGCACGTTGCCCATATCTAATGATCACCTACTGACCACACTGACAGCAATCATGAGTTTTTGAGGTATAAATACTCCTCATAAAAGACAAGATGGGAGGCAACAAAAAACCCTTTTCTCAAAGAAATACAGTGTTTTCTCCTTCCCATCTCTCAAAGAACTAACTTGATCGTCGGAGGGGATATGCCAGAAAATACTCCTACGCCCTCCTAACTCATTTTTCTCTGTTCCAGGAACCTCCCTCAGCCTTACTGGACCGTTCCGTTGATCCATGAAAGTCACCCATTACCGTTCTAGGCCACTAACGGACCTCACAGTCTGTTTCAAGTAGCAAGATTGACCATTCGATTGACTGACTCGAGTTCACCATGGGAGATCTGTTCTCGTGTTTATATTGTGCAAGATCCTGCACGCATAATCTGGCGTCGTCTGTGGAGGGGGAGGTGGAGTGGAGTCTGCCTCTGCTGTTGTTGCTGTTGCTGCTAAAGATAAGGAGGTAACCCACGGCCTCTCCCGCTTTGTTGCTGAGCGGAGGGGGCCCTAGATCCCCTGCCAAGGTCGTCGTACCTTTGTTTGACCCTTTTCTCCTCATCTACCTGAGGATCTCGGTCACGCACTTGACCCCGACCAATGACTCTTGAAGGGGGGTGGCGCTGGTCCCTATGGATGGGGTCCCGCTGGTTGATCCTCGTCCCCTCCCGGCAGCAAAGGCCTGCCTCTGCCTCAGGAACCCAGATCTATGCGAGACGTGTTCGACATGGCTACCTCGAGGGCGTCCTCCCCATCTAGGGACTGCAGGATTTGGAAGTCTGGCCATGAATCTCTCCCCGAAGTCCCCACTTCGGCGTATGAAGGAACAAAAGTCTCCCTGGTCCCGAACTCCTCAACTTCGATAGCACCCTCTACTTCGACCTCTATAGCCCGGTTGCAGTCTTCCTTCAAATTATCCTCGACCTTTTGTTGCGCATGTTGATCGAAGAATTCAGACCACCGCGAAGGCTCGAAAGGCTGGGGGAGCTGTGAAAACTTTTTATATCCGGGAGTATAGTTCAGAAGAATATGAGTAGCCCGGCTGAACCCGTTGTCACCAACAAATCTCCAAACAGTGACGAGGTCGATAAAGTTTACCAAGTACCGAAGTGGAGGAGCTGTTTCCCGAGCGGAGACGTCTACACAAAAAAAAAGGGAGGAGAGGGAGTTATGAACACTTCCAAAAAATCTCAAGAATAAAATAATACTCGAAGAAGCCGACGTACTTGTCGTTCTCCATTTCAAAGGGCATAATAGACCGTCGTGTTCGGGACCGGTACCCCTCTGCCAGGACCCCTTGAAGATCAGTCGGTCATCCTTGTACCCTTTGTCCTAGTGAGGAAGATGAGTTACGAGGTACATGGATGGGTCCCTAGCTTTAAGGTAGAAGTTTTAATGAGGCATGACTCTCAAGAGGGACTAGCAAAAGAGGATATCGTTCAACCCAACATTTACCCCGAGACGCTTGTTGAGCTTTAAGACTCCCATTATTATCCTGAAGACATTGAGACAGCACTGCCCGGGGAAGAGGTGGAAATGGGAGAGGAACTAGAGGATTAGAGGGGGTAGAGGGAACCTAATTCTGCTCTCTATGATGGTTTTGGTATAAAAGGGCATCTCATCCTCAGCCCCGAGGGTACGGGAATGCACAGCTGAGTTATAATCCTCTATGTATACATATGAGGGGATGTCATACTGGACCCTAAACCTATTAATCTGCTCGCCCCTTTCACTTTGTACTTCCTTGGCCTCGAGGAACTAGCCTGAGGATTCTCAGGGGCGGGGCGACGTCAGGGCATCTCCAAAAATGATGAAAATTGAGGAAGAAGGGAGGGGTTTTCCCACGAATATCCACGAGAAGGTTTCCTGAGGGTTGGTCATAGAATAACAACCAAAAACACCTCCGATTATCAAAAAATCAAAAGAAAATAAAAACAGCGAGAAGAAGAAAAGAAAAGACAGAAAGGCGAAGAGAGGGAAGATACAAGGACTCGCCAGAACGTAAACGAAAGTTTTTCTTGAAAACTTGAAGTAATTCCTTCCCCTAGGATGTTCAGAAGCAAGGATAGGTCTACTGGCCTTGAGACTCCGGTGAAAGATTGGGCAATAGATAACGAAAGGGAAGGGATCTCCGGCGAGGTTTTAGGCAAGGGCTCTCTGAAGAAGTTCGAAATGACGAAATGAGAGAGGGAGAGAGGAAGCCCATTTATATAGTACTCATCCCCATCATTTGGGCACGAAGCACAAAGAGGCGCATTTAATGCGCATGACTTCCTAAGTAGGGGAAAGCGACTAGAGGTAATAATGAAGTAGTTGGGGTAGTTGCAGAACCCTTCGTCTCCTTACGACGCGTGTCCTCGGTGTCAAGAGATCGAAGGCTGGGGGGCAGTTGATGGGACATTTCCAAATACTCCAAGATGAAGACACGTGTTATCGGCATCAATGAATTCTTGTTATTGTGATCACGACATGTACCCGTCGGTTCACAAGTCCCTCTTCCCCTGAGGTACTGTTCATAGGGATCAATGACACCTAATACGTTTACGTACTGACACGTATCCCTCAGTCGGATATGGGATACATCGGTCCCTACATGTACCACTCCCCTCGGTACCGAGATGTACCCGTCCAGGATGGCGTTCTTTGCTCCTGCAGAGGCTATTGATGTACAGGTCACTAGCCTAGGCTAAGCTAGGTTAGCCATCATGACCTCGTCTTATATAATTGTTGTCAGGAGGCATAAGAAGGCAGAAGACCCAACCAATGGGAAATGGGCGCGTGGCATATTGTGTCAGATCAGAGACAAAAAGACCGAGATGCCCTTGCTGACACACGACTTGGAAAAACAAGCATTTAGTGCACCATTCCCTTGATAAGACATCATTTAATGTAGGAAGGCTCGGAAGTGAAAGGTAATAAATGTCTCTATGACTGGACATTTATTACATCCTTGTCGAGAGAAGCTCATTAAACACTCGGCAGGCCGACGATGAAGCATTGGTTGCTCGAAGTCCCGAGCAGTTAAGAGAGAAGTCATTCCTCATAGGAATCAATGCGCACGTTGCCCATATCTAATGATCACCTACTGACCACACTGACAATAATCATGAGTTTTTGTGGTATAAATATTCCTCATAAAAGGCAAGATGGGAGGCAACAAAAAACCTTTTTCTCAAAGAAATACAGTGTTTTTTCCTTCCTCTCTCTCAAAGAACTGACTTGATCGTCGGAGGGGATACGCCGAAAAACACTCCGGCGTTCTCCTAACTCATTTTTCTCTGTTCCAAGAACCTCCCTCAGTCTTACTTGACCGCTCCGTTGATCCATGAAAGTCACCCATTACCGTTTCAGGCCACCAACTGACCTCACAGTCTGTTCCAAGTAGCAAGATTGATCATTCGATTGATNCCGCTCCGTTGATCCACGAAAGTCACCCATTACCGTTTCAGGCCACCAACGGACCTCACAGTCTCTTCCAAGTAGCAAGATTGACCATTCGATTGACTGACTCGAGTTCACCACGGGAGAGATCTGTTATTGTGTTTATATTGTGCAAGATCCTGCACACACAACAACATTTGCAATGAGTTCTAGAATTAGTTGGACCTAATTACAATATATATTGTTAATGAGATCATGTATTAAAGTGAGGTGTTGATCAAGATTTACAGCCAAGGGATTCAAAATATTGCATGCAACCTAAGGATGAAGGAGGAGGACATCTCTAAATGTTGAGTCATGGCCAAATTATTTCAGTGGTCATGTCCTATGATCACTTAAGTCATTGTAGCCCAAAATTTAAAGCCAAGCGATTCGGATCATGGTGAAGTTCTCGAACGGAGAGATGGCCATAAGAGAAATGACCACAGGACATGTGCTTATACAATTTGGTTGTATCAATTACTTCGAAATAAAGTTCTTAATTGCTAGAAGAAAAATAAGACAAAACTCCTTGCATTTTTTGCTGGGCCATGAACTTCTTAAATGCAACCACCTTTATTTAATTGGTGTGGCATGAGAGTTGCACTTAACTCTGTATGGGAAAAGATGGCCTTACCTGCTATGAATTAAATAGAAACATTTGAGTGTACCTTTGGCCTTATCACTAGGTAAATAATAAGATTTTGTTTGGATTCAGAGATTTGTTTCTCATGGTACATTTATCTTAAGCTTATTAACATTCATATATACTCACATATATGAGTACTNTGCTTTTCTTGAGTGCTTTTTTAATTTATGCCCACTACCTTTTTGCCTTAAGCAAATTTTTTAGTGACCAAAAATGTAATTCAAAACCTCTTACTTGGTTTTTGTTCATTCATTGAGATAGCGATTGATTTAAAAGCATTTATGTCATTTTGTTTTGTGATTAAAGTTGTCTGTAATTGAAAATTTATATAGGTTTATTTCAATTTTTTAAGAATTTTATCTTTTATTTGTCACNTTATATAGGTTTATTTCAATTTTTTAAGAATTTTATCTTCTATTTGTCACTTTTACAAGTATGGATATAGTTGTTTGTGTATGAAGAATTATGTTGTGGTAATTGGTACATAATTCATCAAAAATTGATGCTGTCCCACATCGGGACTTTGGGTGAGTTTGGGGTGTATTTATATGCCGACTACTGCACTTCTCCCTTTTAAGGAGTTGTGTTGTAGTTTGGCTCTTGTTCAAAAAAAAAAAAAAAATTGGCACATAGTTGGATTTCAGTATGTGTATGACATGATTTGATTATGATTAGGAAATATGTAAATTGTGTAGATAGGTTTATATATTTGTAGCATTATATTTTCAGAGAATACTCTGCTGAAAAATTAAAAGTTTTTTTACGGAGTATCCACATTTTGACCCTTTTTATTTCACTAAAGTAATGAAATTAAAATTGACCAAATGATTTTCAGCTTAATGCATGTTTGTATTCATTGTTTGATTATTTCGTGTTAAGAATTATGTGCAGTGCCTTCAGACACCCGATATAAGGCGAGTTTAGGCTTTTAGTTCTGTGCTTGATTATTTAATGTTCAATTTTTTTTGGTTGCACCGTGCCTTGAGGCACGGGTTATCCCTAGTATTTGATATGAGGTGACCCGTCCAATTTACTAGTGTTGGGACACTAAAGCAGGTGTGTGGGTACCAATTAGAGAACAAGTACACTGAACGTGAACATTGACTANTTTGCTTAGGCAAATACAGATATTTGTATGCCTGCACGTACATGTGAAGTGTGAACACACTGTACACTCACACATTCCCTGAGGAATTGCATTTGTTTCATTTGATCTATAGTTGTCTTTGTGGCTTCAGGATACGAAGTTGACAAGTTTCTCTCTTTTCCTTTTTGTTTTTCTTCGGATTCTCTCCATTGCTATTACAATTCTTAATTTATTTATAAAAAATTATTTTGCATTACTGTGTAGGAATCCTTAAACGCGAAGCTCAACACAAATGTTGAAAATCCTTGGTTTGTTTTTGGCGTTTCATACCCTGGAGCTCTTAGTGCATGGTTCCGTCTGAAGTTTCCTCACCTAACATGTGGAAGTTTTGCAAGTTCTGCAGTTGTTCTTGCTGTTTACAACTTCACTGAATTTGACCAGCAGGTGAGGAGAAGAATTCCTTAGGTCATTGGTTTACTACCCATGGTGGTCCTTGCTTTTAAATTATATTGCCTGTGAATGTTGTTAGACATTTCTGTTCTCATACTTCTTTTGCATTTCTCTTAAATTTCATGTAAGGCATCATTGTGGAGTAACTGCCTACCCTGATTCTCCGATTGCAGATTGGTGAGTTAGCAGGTCTAGAATGTAAAGCTGTGTTACAAGAAGTTAATCAACTTGTTGAACAAAGGCTTTCATCAAATGCAAAAGAACTGAAGACACTTTTTGACGCAGCTGAGGTATGAATGCTTTGTCCTTGTTACGGTTGATTATGCTAAACACCTGACCATGAGTACACATACCTTCTATACTTGTAGATGCATCAAATACTACCCATTCTGGTTTAGGCAGTGTGTCAAATGTACTTGATGTAGAGTATTTTTCACTTGTCTGACTTCATGTGGGCCTTTTAATTGTGCAGTTAAAGATTGATGGTAATTTTCTGTATTTTATAGCGGATGTTGCAGCTATAGCGGTTGGTGTGCATGAAATTTCAGTTGTTCACTTAGTACCAAATTCTGTTGAACTTAAATATGATTTGTTGTCCAAATCTTGCAGTTTCAATACGGAAATGCTAATAAACTATGTTCCCCTCTTATTGATGCCAAGAAGGCTGGGGAGGATTTGTTGGTATGGTCTCAAGTTTGCAATCCATTTGTCTCTGCATTAGAGGTGTCTTTAAACTTAATTGAAGTGTTCTGGGTGCATACCATTTGTTCTGTCAAATTGCAGCGTATCCACAAAGTATGTTCATAAAACATTTGTTAAGGATAGCTATTTATGAAATTACATGGTTGTTAGTTAGAAGGAATCAAGGCTTTTAGGTTGTTTTGTTGAAGAAACTTATTTCCAACTTCAAACGATAGCCTATTTCAGGACTTACAAAGTAGAGCCTTGGACTAGGACACCAATCTCTGTTTATCCTCAAAATCTCTCCACAGACTGGACTATCAGCCCTGAAGTTGCAACAGAAAAATTATATGACCATTATTCCAGTATTTAAAGGAGAAATTTTTTGGTGAGTAGTGCACTTGTTTAAAGCTAAATTACACTAGATATTGGAAGCTTTTAACACCAGAAGGTTTTTTCATAGTCTCCTCCTTGCTTTTCTTGAGTGCTTTTTTAATTTATGCCCACTACCTTTTTGTCTTAAGCAAATTTTTTAGTGACCAAAAATGTAATTCAAAACCTCTTACTTGGTTTTTGTTCATTCATTGAGATAGCGATTGATTTAAAAGCATTTATGTCATTTTGTTTTGTGATTAAAGTTGTCTGTAATTGAAAATTTCTATAGTTTTATTTCAATTTTTAAAGAATTTTATCTTCTATTTGTCACTTTTACAAGTATGGATATAGTTGTTTGTGTAGGAAGAATTATGTTGTGGTAATTGGTACATAATTCATCAAAAATTGATGCTGTCCCACATCGGGACTTTGGGTGAGTTTGGGGTGTATTTATATGCCGACTACTGCACTTCTCCCTTTTAAGGAGTTGTGTTGTAGTTTGGCTCTTGTTCATAAAAAAAAAAAAAAAATTGGCACATAGTTGGATTTCAGTATGTGAATGACATGATTTGATTATGATTAGGAAATATGTAAATTGTGTAGATAGGTTTATATATTTGTAGCATTATATTTTCAGAGAATACTCTGCTGAAAAATTAAAAGTTTTTTTACGGAGTATCCACATTTTGACCCTTTTTATTTCACTAAAGTAATGAAATTAAACTTGACCAAATGATTTTCAGCTTAATGCATGTTTGTAGTCATTGTTTGATTATTTCGTGTTAAGAATTATGTACAGTGCCTTTAGACACCCGATATAAGGCGAGTTTAGGCTTTTAGTTCTGTGCTTGATTATTCAATGTTCAATTTTTTTTGGTTGCACCGTGCCTTGAGGCACGGGTTATCCCTAGTATTTGATATGAGGTGACCCGTCCAATTTACTAGTGTTGGGACACTAAAGCAGGTGTGTGGGTGCCAATTAGAGAACAAGTACACTGAACGTGAACATTGACTAACGTAGAATTTTTCATATAGAGTTTTACATGTTTGTTAATATTAAATCCTAAAGTTATAGTTATGCAACTGATCATTCGACTTGAGACATCATGGTTGTCTTGTGCATGGACTTCTATGTTTTAACTATACAACATATTCATATACTAACCATGTAACTTGGATATGTATTGTTGGACATAATTAGACATGCATGAAGACTTATGAGTGTACAAAATAGAATCTATCATCCTTAGTAATTAAAGGGAGAATGTCATATGTGATCTTTTGGAATATGATTCAAAGAGTCCTTGGCCAAGACAGAATGACAATTAGAAAAGAGTTTCTAATTGATCATTAAGAGTTATAGTCCTAAGATCAAATACATAAGATTGTATTAGGGGTTTGATAGTAATTCCATATCCTAGTAATTTAATTGGAGCATTGTGTGACAGAAAGATTGAATTGCATGACAACTATAGACTGAATGAGTTCTTTATCTACTTCGTGCTATCTGGAGGTTGATCATGATATACTACTAGGTGTCACTCATGATTAGTAGAAGCTCGAAGAATGAAATTAATATAAATATATTAATTGTTCTTCATAAGGGAGAATTAGAAGAGTTTTAATTCAAGCTAAATTAGAAAGATTTCTAATTTGAGATGTTACTTGTAGTTAGTGTCGAATGCCTACAACTGAGTATGCTTAAACCTATATGGTCACACACAATAGAATTGATTAGAAACTAAAGGATAAAGGAGAGACAACCAATTAAGAGTTAATTGGGGTGAAAACCTAATTAAGAGTTAATTAGGAACTTTATTGCAATTAATGTTTAACAAATGGGTTATATGTAATTATGAACTAGGATTAGAGCCTTTAAAGCTGTATGAATACCTTTATGTAGGTGGTGGATATTAGAAATAACAACTCTCTTGCTAGCACAAGAAGAACCATCCATCATTCTCTCTCTCTCTACTAATATATCAATGGTTGAAATAAATCCTTCAAGTTTGTCAATTTGTGTGGATACCGATAGAGGCCAAATGTTTTCGAGACTTGGGGTAAAGATCAAATTCAAATTTGAAGATTTAAAGCTTTTGAGAATGCTTGAAGATTGCTAAAGGCACGCTTCAAGAGGTAACTATTAATCTTCTCTATAGATCTAAGGTTTCTCGGTTTGTATTAAACATGAATAGATCTTGGTATGAGGAATCAAATTATTATTTTTAAATTCTAATGCGTTTATTATATGATTCCTTTCAGTGGTATCAGAGCCATTATTTATGATTTAATACAAACTTGATGTGATTATCATTATAGCATGTTAATGTGATTGACCGAAAAATATTAGGAATTGCATAATTCACATGAATCATATTATTTTGTACGAGTGTTCTACAAAATAAATTCTGATTTTTGTGTTTACATGTTTAATATGAGATATTAATGGATCCATATATTTGAAATTATTTTAAAATTAGATTTTAAAATTGAAGAAACGTAGTTGCAAAAAGTAGCAACTAATTTTCCTTAAAACAAGTTTCGGGTTTGAGATTGAACCAAGGATGGAACGAGTTAGATTTTTTGTCCAAGGGTGGCTAGGGGAAAATTTTTTCATCCATGGTGGATGATAATGGTGGTCTTGAAGTAGAACTTAAAACACTAGTTCATAACGTTCTTTTAAAGTTCTACAAATCTTATTTTGATTTGATCTAAATTTTTGTTCAGGATTGGTTTTAATTTTGTTTATGAAATATTAAAATTAATTTTAATAATTTTTCAAAATTAAATTGGACAAAAAAAAAATTAGATTTGTAAAGTCTCAAGACTTAATTATTGTAAGGACTCTTGGCTTGTTCAAGTTGGATACAGTTTGGTCTCTTATTTAATTTTTATCTATTTCTCTATAAATTAAGAGATTGTCTTCTAATTACTTGTAGAGATAGTATTCTAATTATATTAAGAGATAATCTTTTAATAATATTAAAAGATTATTTTCTAACTAAATTAGGAGATTGTCTTCTAATTAAACTAGAAGATTGTCTCCTAATCAAGTTAACTGATTGTCATTTACTTAGATTAGAAGATTATTTTCTAACTAAATTAGGAGATTGTCTTCTAATTAAATTAGGAGATTGTCTCTTAATCAAATTAAACGATTGTACTTTAGAAGATTGTTTTCTAACTGAATTAGAAGATTGTTTACTAATTAAATAGGAGATTGTCTCCTAATCAAACTAATATATTGTCTTTTAATTAAATAAGAAGAACATCTTCTAACTAAATTAGTAGATTGTCTACTAAATAAACTAGGAGAATATTTCTAGTCAAATTACATTGTTTTTAATTAAATTGGGAAATTATTTTCTAATTAAATTAGGATATTGTATTCTATTAAAATAAGAATTTGATTCTTAATAAACACCACCTAAACTAAGATCCTATTTTAACAAGGATTATGTCAAAGAATCCTAATGAGATTAGGACTCCTAATTAGAATAAAAATTAGGAATTTGATTTTCAACTATACACCATCTAGAATAGAACTCTATTTTGATTAGGTTTTGGACTAAAGACTCCTAATGAGATTAGGACTTCTATCTAGGCCAAAATTGAAAATTTGATTCTTAATGGTATTCCACCCAAACTAAAATCCTAGTTTGACTAGGATTAAAATCAAAGGATCATAATAGGATTATGACTCTTATTTGGAATCAAATTAGGAATTTGATCCCAATTAAAAGATCAACTGAAATAGACTCCTAATTTGACTAGGAATTTGATTATAGAATCCTAATAGGTTAGGACTCTATAATATAATTTTTTAAAAAAATTATTAATTTTAATTTGAATAAAATTAAAGTGATCCTTAATGGTTAAGGAAATTGCAATCCCTAGATATTTATGCTATAATTAGAATAATCACATGTTTTCTTTTATTCATGCAATGTGATTGAACGGATGTGGGAATGATCATGGACTTAGACCAAATAATTGAGCTATGTGATTGGTTTGAATGCAATGTGATTGTATTTTGTTTTTTGGGTATGTAATTTTTAAAAAATGGGGCTTGCATGACTCATTTCTCCTTTCTATATGTAATTTCTTCTCTCACCTCCTGTTGTACATCCCCTTGATCTGAATCAAGGTTTCTTTTCATTAATGTAATGAATTAGAATATAATAGTTCAATAGGATTGAAGATAAAGATGAAAGTATGGTAGAGCCTAGATGTAAAGTTCATGGAGGTCCATTGAAACGACACACCCAAAAGATTAGTGTCATAAGATGATACATTTTCAAATTTTATCATCACCCACATAGATCTAGATTCAAGTCAATGGCTCAAATCGAATCAAACTAACAGTTCATGATCATTCATAGGGAAAAAGGCCCAAATTGTCATAGATAGTTATATGTCTATATTTTATATTTTAAATTGATATATTGAATCATATTTTGTGATGATTCAATTTAATATATTGATATTCTCACAACCCTAATTTTAAGCGTTAAAATTGCTTTTTAAATGGGTTAGCAGGAGTATAATATATTAATTGGACTAATAACGATAAATGACAAGAATTAATTGTTGATATATATGAGATGCATGTATGTATAATGAGACAATTAGACCTCCAAAAACCCCTCCACAAGATATTAAGTTGCAACGAATAGACATTATGAATGTTATATCGTGGTCTTCTGTCGTTATAAGTATATTAAAAATTTTTGAGTGTGATTAGTCGGCTA